TTCAAGGTATGCTGTGCTGGCAGTGCCGGCGTGTTTGCTTGTTTGTTTTATGTCACGCCACAGACCTTTGTGGATACTGCATTTGGGTCATGTCATTCTGTCATAAACATTGAGCGGATACCAAGCAAGCTATGGAAATCTGAAAGGCAAATAGTAGTAAATCATCAGAGGTGCTCTTGCCCAAGGCCACTGTTAGTTCTGTTACCATAATGAATAAATGTATCTTTGATTCTTTGGTTTACGCGCTCTTGTCTCCTACCGGTTTTTTAGAAGTGTCTGGCCAAATGGTTCTTTCAGGTCTGTAACTTTCTGCAGAGCCAGCTCTTTAGGTTTGTGATAGCCAGCCTGGGAATGGGACACAAAACTTCTTATGTTTACGAAGCAAGTAGCTTTTGCAAACTATTTGAGTTTGAACACACAATGAGGAGGGTCAATACACTATTGTTCGGGGAACAGTTAGGGTGATGTCATCTGTTGTTTGCCAGTTATGCAGCTGTATATAGTGTCACTTTTTGGCAGAAACAGAGAAATCAATTCAGCTAGACTGTGGAAGGACTCTTCTCTCTGTGTGTGTGTATGTTTTTAAGATTTATTTTTATTTTATGTGTGTGAGTGTTGTGCTTGCATGTATGTCTGTGCATCACATGTGTACAGTATCTGTGGGGACCAAAAGTTTGCATTAGATCCTCCTGGATCTAGAATTAGAGACAGTTGGGGGCAGCTATGTGGGTTTTGGGAACCAAATATGAGTCCTATGCAAGAGCAGTAAGCAGCTTAACCACCAAATCAACGCCCAGCCCCATACTGTGTTTAATTAAAGGCATGTTCTATACAAAGTAGAGGTGTTTCTTGTCTTACCTTTAATTATGAATTTTATTTACTTTTTGTGTTCCTTATTCATCTACATTTTCTGCAAATGTGAACTCCTGGGATTGGATTTTCTTTCTGCAGATCTTTTTGTTGTTGTTGTTGTTTTGTTTTTTTGAGCAGGGTTTCTCTGTGTAGCTTTGGAGCCTGTCCTGGCACTTGCTCTGGAGACGAGGCTGGCCTCGAACTCACAGAGATCTGTCTGCCTCTGCCTCCCAAGTGCTGGGATTAAAGGAGTACGTCACCACTGCCTGGCTGTTCTGCGGATCTTTTGCTGCACGATGCCAGCTCCTCCCCGATTCTCTAAGCCAGGCATCTTGAAGTCTTTAGGGACCGCCATGCCTTTCTCTCTATGTATATGTGATGCTGCCTGTGGCCAAGTTCTCATTTTCCCTGTCATGAACATTCAAGATGTCTCCCTCACACTGTTTTCTTTACACAGTGGTGTAACCTATGGGAAGTCCTTCAGTGGTTTTGCATTGCCATTGATATAACATCTTGTCTAAACTTCAAGGGTGATTTCCAATGTGGTACTTCTTAATGAAAGGAAATGAACTAGAACTAGATGAATCACACGAAAGTTCAAATTTTAGAAAACAGAATATATACAGGGTATTAGTTACGCAGTTAAATTATACACACTCAAGTATTGCATAGAAACTGATGCATAAGAAAAATGTATTAAGAACAGCATGGGAATGGTGAGCAGCAAGTCTGATACCTCCTGACAGGAAGAAAAACAGAAGCTAACAGCTGAGTGAGCCCCTGAGCTCCTCCACACACCCGAGCTCCTCCACACACCTGAGCTCCTTCACATCTGAGCTTCTCCACACACCTGAGCTACTCCACAGCTGAGCTCCTCCACACACATGAGCTCCTCCATAGCTGAGCCTCTCCACACACCTGAGCTCCTC